AACTCTGTTGGGAGTCTGTTGAAAGTGCATGATCAGGTCAGGGAGGACAGAGTAAATCTGGAGCGAGACACAGCCCAAGTGAGTGCATAAATTCAGAGATTTTGGAGGAATCAAGGGAAATCAGTGCAGAGAGTGACGTGCTTTTTGTTTGGCTCATAGTTTGTAAGGCTTTATTTCAGCAGATAAATTGAAGCCCAGGATCCAGCTTAACACAACAGAGTGACACCACAGGAAGATTAAGTTTATTGGTGATAATAGCCCCTAACTTGATTATCTATTTCGGCTTACTTTCAGATTGAACGTAAATATGGGAACTTTTTTTTAAACAGGTTACAAACTACAAGTCTAGAACTAAGTAAATTAGATAGAGATGCAGGGGTAGATGTTGTGTTGTAACTGCATGATGTGGGAGTTAATGGACCCCATTGTTCATAGTGACCACATCAGTAGCAAGTGTTGGTTGCTTGAGGAACTCTGCTTCAGAGTTGATGAGCTGCAGTCTGAGCTTTGGAACACTGTGATGTGTTAGGGAAACAGTTTCAGGATGCAGTCAAACCTCTTAGATTACCTTGAATTTGGACAGTGGTCAGGGACAGGAGAGTGTGACTAGGAATGAGGCCGGTAAAGGGACCCAGGTGATAGTGCTGAAGGAGTCTCTGCCCTTCAGCTTGTCTGACACAGGTTTGAGACTCTTGCTCCCAGTGTGGATGAACAAACTAATCATAGACAAGAAACCATTTGTGAGGTGGGAGAAAAGAGAAATGTAGTTCTAATTGGATAGTCAGGGAATGGACACTGTTCTCTGGCCAGGATTGAGAGACCTGAAGGTCATGTTGCCTGCCTGGTGCCTAGGTTCAGGATATCTCATCTGGGCTGCATAGGAGGGGAAAGATCTGGTTACTGTGGTCCATATAGATCCCAAGGATATAAGTGAAAAGAGATTCTGCTGACGGAATATGAGCAACTAGGGGCTAAATTCAAAAATCAGCACCAAAATTCATCATCTTTGGATTATGACCTGAACTACAAGCAAACTGGCCCAGGGCCAATAAGATTGGAGGTAGCTGTGTGGTTCAAAGATTAGTGTGGAGAAACGGGTTCTAATTCATGGAACATTCCCACCAGGACTTGGAAAGGAGGGAGGATGGGCTCCACATGAATCATGCTACAACTAGAGTCCTGGTGACTCATGTACCTTGGGTTGTTGGATAGGAAAATTATGAAAAATTAGGTGGTGGGGGAGGGTTCTACAAAGGCTATTGAAGTTTCCAGAACCAGTAATAGGACAGAGTAAAGGAAAGGGTCAGGTACAGTAGATAAGGGGGCCAGTTAGTGCAGGACTGAGGGTGTTGTACTTAAATATATACGGTCTACAAAACAAAGTGAGTGAGCTTGTAGTGCCAATTGAAATTGCTGGGCGTGATCTTGTGGGTATCTCAGGAACGTGGCTGCAAGGGGATCAGGGCTGGTAACTAAATCTCCAGAGATATGCGTCCGATTGCAAGGAAAGGCCGATAGACAGAAGGGGTAGGGCTGCGTTGTTAGTAAGAAATGAAATTAAATTGATAGCAAGAAGTGAGTCACCGGGCGCAGAATCTGTGGGTAGAGTAGAGGAACTGCAAGGGGAAAAGTCTCTGATTTGTATCACTAACATTATTGAAATAATTAAGAGAATGTCAGTCTCTGTGGGCACTGATTATAAATGAAGCACACCCCCATCAGGTCACTCTGAGCACTACTACCAGCCAGTGTTGGGACCACAACTATTCATGTTACATATTAACAAACTGAATGAAAGAACTGAGGGTATTATTGCTACTTTTCCATATGAAAGATAAGTGGAGGGAGGCTACACAATGACTTGGTCAGGTTAGAAGAGGGAGGGGCAAAGAAGGGGCAGATGGAATACAATGTGGGAACATGTGAGGTTAGGCACTTTGGTAGGAAGAACCGAGGGACACGCTGTTTTCCTAAATGGGGAAAGGCTCCCGAAATCTGAAACAAGGTTGGGAGTCCTGGGATAACAAGGTGTGGAGCTGGATGAACACAGCAGGCCAAGCAGCATCAGAGGAGCAGGAAAGCTGACGTTTCGGGCCTGGACCCTTCTTCAGAAATGGGGGCCAGGAAGGGGATTCTGAAATAAATAGGGAGAGAGGGGGAAGCGGACAGAAGATGGATAGAGGAGAAGATAGGTGGAGAGGAGACAGACAGGTCAAAGAGACGGGGATGGAGCCAGTAAAGGTGAGTGTAGGTGGGGAGTTAGGAAGGGGATAGGTCAGTCCAGGGAGGACGGACAGGTCAAGGGGGCGGGATGAGGTTAGTAGATAGGAAATGGGGGTGGGGCTTGAGGTGGGAGGAGGGGATAGGTGGGAGGAAGGACAGGTTAGGGAGGTGGGGACAAGCTGGGCTGGTTTTGGGATAGTAGGAACTGCAGATGCTGGAGAATCTGAGATAACAAGGTGTAGAGCTGGATGAACACAGCAGGCCAAGCAGCATCAGACGAGCAGGAAGGCTGACGTTTCGGGCCTAGACCCTTTTTTTCTGAAGAAAACTTGTGAAGTCCACATTGATACCATTGGGCTGCAGGGTTCCCAAGCGAAATATGAGGTGCTGTTCCTGCAACCTTCGGGTGGCATCATTGTGGCACTGCAGGAGGCCCAGGATGGACATGTCGTCCAAGGAGTGAGAGGGGGAGGTGAAATGGTTCGTGACTGGGAGGTGCAGTTGTTTGTCGCGAACCGAGCGTAGGTGTTCTGCAAAGCGGTCCCCAAGCCTCTGCCTGGTTTCCCCGATGTAGAGGAGGCCACAACGGGAATAGCGGATACAGTATACCACAGTAGCAGATGTGCAGGTGAACATCTGTTTGATGTGGAAGGTCTTCTTAGGGCCTGGGATTGGTGGGGGGGGGGGGGGGGAAGGGGCAGGTGTAGCACTTCCTGCAGTTGCAGGGAGAAGTGCCGGGGCTGGAGGGGAGTGTGGAGCAGACGAGGGAGTCATGGAGAGAGTGGTCCCTCTGGAAAGCAGATAAGGGTATGGAGGGAAAAATGTCTTTGGTAGTGGGGTTGGATTGCAGATGGCGGAAGTGTCGGAGGATGATGCGTTGGATCTGGAGGTTGGTGGGGTGGTACGTGAGGACAAGGGGGATTCTTTTTTGGTTGTTATTGTGGGGAGGGGGTGTGAGGGATGAGTTGCGGGAAATGTGAGAGACATGGTCAAGGGTGTTTTCGACCACGGTGGAGGGGAAGTTGTGGTCCTTGAAAAACGAGGACATCTGGGATGTCCAGGAGTGGAATGCCTCATCTTGGGAGCAGATGCGGTGGAGGCGAAGGAATTGGGAATAGGGGATGGCTTTTTTTCAGGAAGGTGGGTGAGAGAAGGTGTATCCTAGGTAGCTGTGGGAGTCGGTGGGCTTGAAATGGATATCGGTTTCCAGGTGGATGCCAGAGATGGAAACAGAGAGGTCCAGGAAGGAGAGAGAGGTATCAGAGATGGTCCAGGTGAACTTAAGGTTGGGGTGGAAGGTGTTAGTAAAGTGGATGACCTGTTTGAGCTCCTCGTGGGAGCACGAGGTGGCGCCGATACAGTCATCAATGTAACAGAGGAAGAGGTGGGGGAGAGGGCCAGCGTAGCTACGGAAGAGGGATTGTTCCATGTATCCTACAAAGAGGCAGGCATAGCTTGGGCCCATGCAGGTACCCATGGCCACCCTCTTTGTCTGTAGGAAGTGGGAGGAATTGAAGGAGAAGTTGTTAAGGGTGGGAGTCCTGGCTCAGGATTCTCTCAATGTTAACATGCAGGTTCAGTTGGCAGTTAGGAAGGTAAAAGCAATGTTAGTATCCAAGACAGCTGGAATACAAGAGCAGAGATGTGCTGCTGGGGCTGTGTAAGGCTCTGGTCAGGCTGCATTTGGAATATTGTGAGCAGTTTTGGTCTCCACATATAAAAGAAGATGATGGCATTGGAGAGGATCCAGAGGAGGATTACAAAATGATCCCAAGGATGAAGGGCTGGTCATCTGAGGAGCGGCTGAGGTCTTTTTGAGTCTATATTTGATGGTATTTAGAAGGGGAGGACTGTTTCTGATTGAAATTTTCGGGAGACCTGGATCGAGTAGATGTGGAGATGTTTCCCTCTTGTGGGAGAGACTCTGTCCTGAGGGCATGGTCTGAGTGAAGCAATGACCCTTTGGAACTGAGATGAGGAATTTCTTCAGCCTGAGGGTGGTGAATCTGTGTCACAGAGGGCTGTTGTAGCTGAGTCATTGAGTTGTATTTACAACAAATTCTTGGCTGTTAAGGGATTGAGGATTACAGGGAGAAGGCAGGACAGAGGTTTCTCAACCACCATCCCCCCCACCCATTCAGCCAAGATAGAATGGTGGAGCAGACGCGATGGGCTGAATGGCCGAATTCTGGGCCTATAACTTATTCGCTTATGAACAGAGTGCCAATACACCAAACTGGGAATAGAGAGAAATGTTCCTGCATTTCATTGAGTTGAAGTAGTTTAAGGAAGCTTCTGTATTTTGTTTTTTTTTTGGAGAATTATTTCGTTTTCAGTCTGCTCTTTGCTACTGGAATTTGAAAGGATGTGATTTGCTTCAATGGGCACGCAATGAGCACTGTATGAAAGAATTAGTGGAGTGGAGAGAGTGATGGTTAAGGAAGACTGGACTGAGACGGAGGGGTCTACTGGTTGAGTTCAAGGGAGGCTGATTATTGTGGAAGAATGTGAGAGGTGCGTCATTCCTCAGCTGTTCTCATGCTGCTCAAGTTAATCACCACCGTCTGTCAACTGGTGTGATTTCTGCATTTGGAATAAGCTACTGAGGGAAGAATTCTAACCATAACAGAGCTAAATCCACAAACACCACGTATTCCTGGGACAAGCCTGACAGAACGAGCAATCCCTGAGCTCAACCAGTTACAAATGGGTTCAACAATTTGGCAGACAGCTGCACAACAAAATAGTAAAACACCTGTCTGACATCCTCACGCAATTCTAGCTTACGGGCAATGTCCCCGAAACCACAACCAAAAACACAAATTGCTGGAAAAGCTAGCATCTGCGGACAGAAATCCAAGTTAACTTTTCAGATTCGGTGACCCTTAGAACTCAACGGGTGGCCCAAGAAATCACCACCTCCGTTCCCAGATATGTCCCGGCCCCACTGGCAGGACAGACCTAGCAGTGGTGGAGGCACAGTGCCAATACAGTTGGGAAAGAGCTGCTGAGCGACCTCAACATTATCTCCAGACTTCATGAAAACTCCATGGCATCAGATTAAACATGAGCAGGGAAACCACCTGCTGATTACCAAACACTACCCTGCTCGAAGCCGGTGCACCATCTACAAGGCACACTTGCCTGGATGGGTGCAGCTCCAACAACACTTGAGTTTGACACAGTCCAGGGCAAAGCAGCCCGCTTGATTGGCACTACATTCACTCCCTCCACCACCGACGCTCAGTAGCAGCTGTAGGTACAGTCTACAAGATGCACTGCAGAAATTCACTAAAGGTCCTTAGACAGCACCTTTCGTAACCACTTCCATCTAGAAGGACAAGGGCAGCAGATATATGGGAACACCACCACCTCCAAGTTCCCCTCCAACTCACTCACCATCCTGACTTGGAAATATATCGCTGTTCCTTCACTGTCACTGGGTCAAAATCCTGGAATTCCCTCCCTAATAGCATTGTGGGCCAACCTACAGCACATGGGCTGCAGCGGTTCAAGGCGGCAGCTCACCCCCACCTTCTCAAGGGGCAACTAGGGACGGGCAATACAGCAATCCTCCATCCCATGAAACGATCGAGCATAAGTTCTCTATCAAAATAAAATTTCCACCTGCACAAACACTTTGAGCAGCCGTTTCCATACCTTCACATTGTTCATGTTCATTATGTTCCCGCAGTCATCCATGTACTGCTTCAGGTCTCTGTCCTGGAACAGAGTTAACAGTGAATATCAGGGCAGACAATTGTCAGATTCAAATCATCGGAGATTCCCCCCACTACTGTGTGTGTGTGTGTGTGTGTGTGTGTGTGTGTGTGTCATGTGAGTATGTGAAGGAGAGTGCAACTGGGAGGTTACCAGAGACATCAAGTCAAGTGGTGTGGAGGAGCCAAATGAAGATTTTAGCTAATGTTAATGTTCAGCAGTTTAGCACCAATTCCAGGATTCCACAACTGTCCCAGTGGGCCAGATATTAGTGAATGTGACCCCACTTTTGAAGAAAGCATTAGAATAAAAACAGGGAGCTATCGGCCAGCTATCCTGGCATTAGTCATTGATTTCCTCCTCAATCTATTAGTGAGGAAGTGATAACAAAGCATTCCAAATAGATGACAGAGACTCGACATGGCTTTATAACAGGAAAACTGCATTTGACTAAAATAGAGTTTTTAAAGATGTAAAAAGCTGGGTAGCTAAATGGGAACCAGCAGATGTAGTATACTTAGATATTCAGAAAACAGTCGCTAAGGTGTCTCAAAATTTTTTGTTGCCAAGGTTAGGCTTAATGGAGAAAAGACAGAGGATTAGAAAATAATAAGAAAAAATTCAGTGTGACTACAGAGAGTACAATAAGAATCAGTGCTGGGGCTTTGGCTATTTAAACTGTACATCTATTATCGGAGTGGTGGGACTGAATTTAAGACCTCCAAGCTCGCTGGTAGAACTTAACAGCTACAGCAACTCACCAATAGTCCTCATACAGCACTTTCATAACCCAGGAGCACCTCCATCTAGAAGGCCAAGGGCAGAAAATAGATAGGAACACCAAGTTCCCCTCCAATCACTCACCACCCTGACTTGGAAATATATTGCCATTCCTTCAGTATCGCTGGGTCAAAATCCTGGAATTCCCTCCCTAAGGACATTGTGGGTCAACCCACAGCAGGTGGACTGTAGCGGTTTAAGAAGGCAGCTCACCACCACCATTACAAGGACAATTAGAGACAATCAAAAATAAGCTGTATCTGCAGCCTTCGTCCTTCCACATGGAAACAGTCGTAGGTTCGGAAGGTGCTGTCTGAGGATTTTGGCACTTCTGCGACCAGTAAATTTCTACATTGATGTACTGGACAAGGAATAACAAGGATGTTGTTTCAAAAATGTGGAAGGTGGCATAAAGGGAAGAGTGAGGCATTACAAGGACATGGATAGCAGAAGCAGCAGTAGCAGGGTTAGGAGCAAGCTCAGGAGGGGTGCTGAATGAACTGGATGACTCTCCCACACAATGGTCCCAGGCTCTCTGCAGTTCTCGGGAATACCAATGGAAGTACTGTCCTGGCCAATATTGTGCCGACCAGCAGCCCCACTGATCAGATGGACAGACAGCATCTGGGGCCTGGAACAATGTCCATTTGAGGACAGGATCACACAATCACTGCTCCAGACAGATCTGTTACGGTAGAGTGGGTCAGACTGGATCACACAGTCAATGGCCATAACAGAGATCTGTTGGCACAGAATGGATTGCAGACTCTGTCCCATATTTGTGTGGAATGGACCACAGAAACACTGGCCCTGACAGAGATCTGTTGGTGCAGAGTGTGATGGAGATCTGTGGGCATGAAGGACACCAGAGTAGATTACTGTCTCATTGTCTCTGATAGTGCAGATGGGATGAGAGTGGATCACCTTGTCATTGTCCCTGGCGGAGATCTGTTGGTGTAGAAAGGATCAGAACAGATTTGTAGCAGTCCACGGGTGAACGGTGGATGGGTATGGTGGTGGTAGCAGGTTTCGGGGAGACAGTAATGGGGGAGGGCTAGCAGTAATGTGGTAACTGACATTCTCTTACCAAGTATTCGAAGACCAGAGTTAGTGATTTCTCAGTGTGGATGATGTCATGTAGTGTCACTATATTGGCATGTTTCAGCTCCTTCAGCAAGGACACTGCAAACAGAAAGATTCAAGTAAGTCTTCACACAACAAGCTGCCCTCAACTTCTCCCAGTCTCTGAGCATTCCACCCAAGCTGAGCCGCCTCTTATTTCTGACCTCTGACCTGTCATCCGTGCCTCCACATTCCTCCTCTTAGCTAGCTACCCCTATCTTTATCTGTCCATCTCCTCTGACTTTGCTCACCCAAAATCCAATGGCTATATAGTTTAGCATCTCTACCCTGGCCTCTTCTCAACACTGAAATGAACTGGGGCATGATCACGGATACCCCTTTGCTCCCAGCCTGTCTCCTTCACTCCATCCAGTAATCTGATGGTAGCTCAGAGAGGCACTCCTCATGTCCTTCAGCTTGGCACAGACTGTTCCATTGCAGGTCACACTCTGCACTGAGCAAACCCACCTCAGAGTAGCTTCCGGAGGCGACTGGAGTGCGGATTGGGATAGGACAACATTAGCCAGTCCGAGCTAAGGAACTGTCCTAGTCCATCCATTGTCACTGCTGTGGTGAGGAAAGCACAGTAACATCTCTACTTCCTCAGAAGGCAAAGGAAATCCAGTATGTCAACAATGACTCCTCGCAATTTTTATAAGTGACCCCATAGAAAACACCCTATACAGATGCATCACGGCATGATAATGGCAACTGCTCTGCCCAAGTCTGCAAGAAATTTCAGAGAGTTGTGAATGCAGCCCAGTCCATCTCTCAAACCAGCCTTCCTTCCATTGATTCCATCTAGATTTCTCACTGCCTCGGGAAGCCAACCTACATAATCAAAGACCCTCCAATCCCAGGTATATTCTCTTCCACCTTCTTCCATCGAGCAGAAGATATGAAAATTTGGAAGACCGTGCCAACAGATTCAGGAACAGCTTTTTCCCCGCTGTTATCATACTTATGAAGGGACCTCTCATATATTAGAGTTGATCTCTCTCCGCACCTTCTCTGTAGCTGTAACACTACATTCTGCATTCTGTCCTATTACCCTGATGTACTTACATAAGGTACCATTTGTCTGGATAGCATGCAGATCTGATTTGATTTATTGTCACGTGTACCTGAGTACAGTGAAAAGTTTTGTTTGTGAGCAGTAATAGTAAGCGAGGACATACAGATTATAGGGTGCATGGACAGAGTGAGGCATACTGGTTACACTGCACAGGAGCTATGTGAGGCAAGATCAACATTAACAAGATCAACATTATTTGAAGTTACAGAATGCTAGCCTTCATTGCTCAGAACATTGAGTATATGAGTTCAGACATCATGTTGCAGGACATTAGTGAGGCCACTTTTGGAATACTGTGTACAGTTCTGGTCATCCTGCCGTAGGAAGGATGTTATTAAATTGGAGAGGGTTCAGAAAAGGTTTACAAAGATTTAGCTGGGACTGGAGGGTTTGAGTTATAAGGAGAGGCTGGGACTTGTATCGCTGGAGGTTGAGGGGTGGCCTTATAGAGGTTCATAAAATCATGAAGGGCATAGGTTAGGTGAATAGCCAAGGTCTTTTCCAAAACTAGACAGCATAGGTTTAAGGTGAGAGGGGTAAGATTTAAAAGGTACCCAAGGGGTAATTTTTTTCACACAGAGGGTGGTTCCTCTGTGGAATGAACTGCGAGAAGATGCAGCTACAGTTACAATGCCTAAAAGAAATCGGGATAAGTACGTGAATAGGAAAGGTTTAGATGGATATGGGCCAAACGCAGGCAGATGGGGAACAAAACCAGAAGTTGCTGGAAAAGCTCAGCAGTTCTGGCAGCATCTGTGAAGGAAAGAAATGAAAAGTTAACGTTTCGGGTCCGGTGACCCTTCAGGCAAATGGGACTAGATTAATTTGGGAACCTTGGACAAGTTGTGGTGAAGGGAGTTTCAGTTCTGTGTGACTCTGTCTGTGGTGGGGTGAAGGCACTACAGGTCCCAGAAAGCCAACGAGTGGAGGATCCAACTGGAACCAATCTATACATGCTTCCAGAAGCTTATCGGGCAGAGTTACACCTCACAGCTCCGGGTCGAGGAGACATCATTGGTTTTATTATCCAATAATGGGATCGGGAGCCCACCTTGGCACAGATACAAATGGGATCAGAATCTTCCTCAGGGTGCGCTCGTACCTTCCCGAATGGCTGTGCAGGGTGCCCCCTCCTCATGTTCCAGGCGAATCTCTTTCAGTGCGACCAGATTATCGGTCAGCTTACTCCTGCCCTTGAACACTGTGGCGTACGTGCCCTGGAAATAAGACAGATGTTAGAGTGTGACAAAACAATGTGGACAGTTCTATACTGGCCTGACCATACAGTGGGACGACGAAATGCTTCAATGGTCTGGGTATTTCGCCGTGGAAACAGATCAAATAAAGACACACAGCCTAAAAGTTACACAGGGCCATGACGGACAGTTTACTGAGAGCTCCAACAGCCAGTATCACGGTGTTGTTGGTGAAGAAAAGGCTGTGAATGTTGTGACAGTACACTTGCAGAAATAAAAAAACCGGTTGGGATTTTCAAAATCCACGAGGGTGCAGGCTCCGAGTTTGCGCTCACAACCAGTCAGTTACAGTGCAGGGCTGAAGGAACGCAGCTGGTCAGGCAGCCACCGGAAGCAAGAGAGTCGGCGTTTTGGGCCGGGACCCTTTGTCAGGCCGTTCCCACAGCAGTGAGACAGGAGAAAGGCAAGCAGCAGCATCCAAGTGGATCTGACTGATGGGGGCGGAGCTGGTCAGAAACTAGCCACAGGACTCACTCCAGTACCAGGGCTGAGTCGGCCTGGCCCAGTTACCAGGGAGACAGGTAGAGCTGGCAACTTGGGAACGGAGCTACAGAGCAGGGACCAAAGACAACGGGCTCAGTATTCAGCTGAAAATTCTTAAGAGGGCAAAAGAAGGGGGCAGGGTAACGTGGGAGGGAAAAAGTGGAGGCGGAGTTAAATGCACTTAAAGTATACATCTGCTGAGCTCATGGGACAAGTTATTCCAACCGCAAACAAAATCTTTGTTTAAAAAACAGGCAAAATTAACATGGAAGACAAAAACAAAAAGTGACGTTGGTGTAGGAGGAAATCACAGCACCCCCCAACTGGGTGACCCCGAAGATATAGGGAGGAGAGTTAGGCCATTCGGCCACTGATGTGTTCCTCAATCCCATTCTCCTGCCTTCTCCCCATAACCTTCCATCCCTTTACCAATCACAAACCTGTCCATCTCTGTCTTAGAGACAGTCAGTCACACAGGAGGTGAGTTTTGCATACCTCTCCCAGTTTATCCAGCTTGACATAGGTTTCCAGTTTGCCAAACCCAATTTCTGACTGGTGAAGGAAAGAACACAAAGATCAGTTTTTGCTTGTTTCGAGGGTCAGATTTGATGCTGTTCACGCACAGTGTGCACACTCGTTCAACAATGATGACCAGCACACAATGTGACAGTCCCACACTGTCACTCCCACACGCTCACTCACACACACTCACTCACTCGCCCGCTCTCTCACTCGCCCGCTCTCTCACTCGCCTGCTCTCTCACTCGCCCGCTCTCTCACTCGCCCGCTCTCTCACTCGCCCGCTCTCTCACTCGCCCTCGCAGTCTCTCTCACTCGCCCTCGCAGTGAGCTGGTCAGGTTTTTGGGTCTGTCCCACAAACAGCAGCTCTCACCGCCTCCTTTCCCAGGTCTTTTCAGTCTCAGCAAACTTCATAGTTCAGATCTCCAGTTACCCTGAAGATCCAGACACATCAGTAATGCACTTTGGGCAAGGTAACCCATTAACTTTATCCAGTTTATAACTGCGGCAAATACGGAGGGCCGCTCGGCCTACTGTGTGTATGCTGGCTCTCTGAATGAGCAATTCATTTAGTACCACTCTCCTGATTTCTCCCCATTGCTCTGTACAGATAATTAGCCAAATCCCACTCGAGTGAACCTGCCTCCCCCACACTCTCAGACAGTGTATCCCAGACCCTAACCTCTCTCTGAGTGAACCTGCCTCCCCCACATTCTCAGACAGTGTATCCCAGACCCTAACCATTCCCTGAGTGAACCTGCCTCCCCCACACTCTCAGACAGTGTATCCCAGAACCTAACCACTCCCTGAGTGAACCTGCCTCCCCCACACTCTCAGACCGGAAGTAACTTACTCATTCATCAACCTCCACATTCTTACATTTTCTCTGTCTCCAGTCACTCACTAACCTGCTCTACATATCCTCACACCTTTTAAATAGACCAATTAGCACACTAACTAATCCGCTGTGACAAATCTCTGCTTCTCTCCCCACAGGTCTTGTTGGAGGTGCTGAGTTTCTCCAGCACTTTCTGGTTTTCTACAATCCCACTGCCCATTCATCAATCCCAGATCTCGGAGTCCCTTTGGACGCAAACCGAATCCCAGATCTGGGCATTCTGGGCTTTGCCTCTCTGTGAGATATTCTCAACATTCCATGTTCTGCTATTGTCTCAATCACATTGACCTGTCTGTCCTCTGCTTTCTTCATGGGCCAGCTTTTATACCACAGGCACGCACACACATCAAAGGCAGAATGTTGTCGACAAAAACACAATCCAAGTATAAAGTCAGCAAAGAGAAGACAAAAGAATATTTACAAGAAGAAAGCTCCAATAAGGCATGTGCTTACTTCTACTTGTTCATGGGATTAGACCAGGATTTATTGTCCATCCCTAATTGCCCAGAGGGCAAGTAAGTGTCAACCTCATTGCTGTGGGTCACATGTAGGCCAGACCAGATAAGGATGGCAGATTTCTTTCCCCATAAAACAATTAGTGAACCAGATGGGGTTTTAAACAGCAATTGATGGTAGTTACACAGTCATTGTTAGACCAGCTTTCTATTCTAGATCTTTATTGAATTCAGATGCCCCTGTCCGCTAAAGTGGGATTTAGAGCCATTTTCCTGGACTATTAACCTAGGTTTTGGATTACTTGGCCAGTGCCTTTACCTGTACATCATGGTTAACCTGCAAACTCAAAATCGCATGCAGTAACTGTAATGGCTTCTGTCGCTGAATAGCCGGTGGACTCAGCAGATTTTGGGGCAGAGGGGACAGATTGCTGCATCCTGGGTCTCTGGCTGTACCACTGTTACTCACTGCATAGCACACCGTTTGCTGCTTTCAGCTCTCTCTCCATGTTATAAATGCAGCAGTCGTAGGCACTATAGAAACAGTGTAGTTACGGCTGTTATAAATACTGTACTGTCAGAAATGTCCTAGTCATAGAGGCACAGAAAAAGGCCCTTTGGCTCTTCGCATCCACACTGGTCAAAAAGAACTACCTAACTAATCTAATCCCATTCCCCAGCACGTGCCCCATATTCCTGTATACCTTGGTATCACAGTGAACATCTAAACACTTTGTCAATGTTATGAGGAGCTCTGCCTCTATCACCCTTACAGGCACCACCCTCTGGATGAAAACATTTTTCCTCACATCTCTAAACCTCCCACCCCTTACCTTATATCTATGTCCCTGCGTCATTGATCGCTCCATCAATGGGAAAGGTTTCTTCCTGTCCACCCTATCTCCCTCCTTCATAATTTCATACATCTCAGTCTCCTCTGCTCCAAGGAAAACAACCCCAGTCTGTCCAATCTCTCTCCATAACTGAAACGCTCCAGCCCAGGCAACATCCTGGTACATCTCCCCTGCACCCTCTCCAGTGCTATCACATCCCTCCTATAATGTGGATTCCACAACTGCACACAGTACTCTAACTGTAGCCTAACCAACATTTTATACAGTTCCAGCATCATCTCCCCACTCTATGCCTCAGCTAATAAAGGCAAATATCTGTCTTAAATGACTCCTTATTCTGAAATAGACCCCCTGGTCCTAGACACTTCTAGGAAGTGGAAGGTGTTAGGAGGGAGGGCAGAACATGCTGAGTGGGGACAGAGTGGTGGGGAGGGAGGGTGGAGTGTACTGAGGTGGGATGTGAGTGAGGGGTTGTACTAGAGATATGGGGTGTAGTGAGACAGGGGAGAGTGCAGTGATGGAGGATAGAGGGCAGTAGCGGAGGGAGAGTGTGGTGACAAAGTAGAGTGCGTAGTGAGGGAGGGGAGTGTATAGTGTGGCAGGGGGGAGTGTACTGATGGAGGGGAGGTTGATGGTGAAAGGGAGACTGTAGTAGGAGAGAATAGTGGGTGGGGAGGGTGTATTGGCAGAGGGGAGAGTGTAGTGGGAGGGTGTTGTGGTGGAGGGGTGTTGTGGTGTATTGGCAAAGGGGAGGGTGTAGTGGCAGAGGGGAGGGTGGTGATGGAGGGGACAGTGTAGTGGGGAGTAGGGTATAGGGAGGGGGGGGAAGGTGTAGTGGCAAAGGGAAGAGTGTAGTGAGAGGGTTT